CAAACTCTGACTTTCAACAGCTGCACTCTGCTGCTGGGTCACATGACCTGATGCAACATCAGCTCTACCAACAGAGCAGAGCTGTGAGGAGGAAGTCCTGAGACCTCACAGCTGAATACCAGCTCTGTGATTCTGTCAGCAGGTCAGCCCTCACTACCTATGAGCAGCTTGTTTTACACAAAGCCTGCAAATATTTCACTAAATATGGAGAACATGATCCAAACTGCAGATATTTTCACCGAGTAGAAATGTTTTCATAGTCTGACCCTGCCCACCCCACCATGACCTCATCAATTCAAATCCAAACATTTCCCGGAGTGGTCTGTAAATAAGCTTCAAGTCTTTTCTCACTGTACGTATGTGTGTGTGTGTGTGTGTGTGTGTTCATGTGAAACTTTGATTTTGCTGTTTCTGTGTAGCGGACAATGAAGCCTGAAAGCATTTGTGGTGATGAACGTGTGTTTGAACAGGTGAGCTGCAGCGTTTACAGCCAGCGTGCACTCAGAGACAGGAATCAGCTGCTCACTGCGATCATGCAGACTTCTTCTCACAGTGAAAACCTTTATGAACAGTCAGAGAGTTAGCACTCATCCCAGACCTGCTGCAGGAAGACAGCTGCTACCATCGGTCATATTTAAAGTCAGTTTGCATTTAATGTGAGGAACGAGATGGGTGAGGCTCATACACGATGAGACGTCCGCCTGAGACAGGAAGCAGCAGAAGATAAGAAGAGATTAGATCAGTCATCAGGCTGTGAAATCAGAGCTGCAGGTGAGTTCACGGTGCTCTGAAACTTCCCAGCAAACTCCGGTCGGTCTGAGGTCGGCTGTTTAATCAGAGGAGATTCCTTCACGTCAGTCGACCGTTTCACAAACATCCTCTGCAACTAAGCAGCAGCAGGCCGAGCTTCTGTTTCCCACATTCACCCTGTAATATCACACACTGTGCAGCAGCATCAGCACTGCATCTCCACTGAGACACAGAGGCGTGAAACATCAAGCAAACACCAGACATACATCAACATCCCAAGAAC